GGTGTTTTTGGGGGGGGGGGGGGGGGGGTGTTTTGGGGGGGGGGGGGGGGGTGTTGGTTTTTTTTGGGTTTTTTGGGGGTTTGGGGTTGGGGGGGGTGTGTGGGGGGGTGGGGGGTTTTGTTGGGGTGTTTGGGGGGTTGGGGGGGGGGGGGGGGGGGGGGGGTGGGGGGTTTTGGTTTGGTTTTGGGGGGGGTGTGTTGGGGGGGGGGTTTTTGGGGGGTTTGGGGGGGGGGGGGGGGGGTTTTGTTGGGGGGTTTTTTTGGTTTTTTTTTGGGGTGGGGGGGGTTTTTTTGGGGGGTTTTTGGGGGGGGGGTGGTGGGGGGGTGTTGGGGGGGTTTGGGGGGTTTTTTTTTTTTTGGGGGGGGGTTTGGGGGGGGGTGGTGGGTGGGGTTTGGGTTGGGGGGGGGGGGGTGGTTTTTGTTTTTTTTTTTTTGGGTGTGTGGGGGTTGGGGGGGGGGTGGGGGGGGGGGGGGGGTTTTTGGGGGGGGGTGGGGGGGTTTTTTTGTGTTGGGTTTTTTTTGGGGGGGGTTGGTGGGGGGGGGGGTTGTGGGGGGGTTTGGGGTTTTTTGTGTGGGGGGTGGGTGGGGGGTGGGGGGGGGGGGTTGGGGGGGGGTGGGGGTTGGGGGGTTTTTGGGGGGTTTTGGGGGGTGTGGGGGTTGGGTTTGTTGGGTTTTTGTGGGGGGGGGTGGGTTGGGGGGGGGGGGGGTGTTTGTGGGGGGGGGGGGGGGGGGGGATGAGGATGGTTTATAATTGTGGGTGTTTGGGGGGGGGGGGGGGGGGGGGTGGTTGGGGGGGGGTAGGGGGGGTGGATGTTTGTAGGAGGGTAATGGGGGGGGGGGGTGGGGTGATGTTTTTTTGGGGGGGGGGGGATATGGGTTAATTAGGGTGAGTGGGTAGGGGGGGGGTGGGGGGGTGGGGGGATGGGGGATTGAGGTAGTGGGGAAGGATTTGTTTCTAGGGGGGGTGTGGGGGGGTGGGGAAGGTGGGGGGGGGTGGGGGGGGGAATATGAAGGGGGGGGGATAGAGTGGGGGGACATAGGGGGGGGGGAGGGGTTGTGAAAGTGGTAAGGGGGGAAAGTAGGGGGGTTTTTAGTGTAAAAGGGTGAAATTTGAATAGGGGGGAGGATTTGGAGATTTTTTTTGGGGGGGGGGGAAAATTGTCTATTAAGGTTTGAGGGGGGGTATTGGGATTGATAAAAGGGGAAATCTTGAGTGGGGAGGAATTGGGGGGAGGGTGTAAAAAAGGTGATATGGTGGGGGAAAGGTTTATTAGATGGGTTGTTTCCTGGAGGAAAGGTTGTTATTTCATTTTTTTTTGGGGGGGGGGGAGGTAAGGGGCAGACTGACATTTTGGATAACTCGATGTTCATTGCCCAAGGGCCATTTTGATTAAATCAGTAGGGGGCCTATGAGATGCCCTGGTACATTTTTCATAGGCTTTTTTTGTGTAGTTTGGGGAAGGACATGGGGGATTATGATTGACCATATTGCCTCCATAGCCATGGTTTCAGTCCCAACTAAGGGGGGGGGGGGAAAGCTTTAAGGCATGATTGGGGGTATTGGTGCTTAAATGGGGAAATTTGATTTCGTGGGGAGGAATGGTGTTAGATCTAGGGGGATGGGAGGGTCAAAGATTTGTGCTGCAGGAGGAAGAATTTGTGCTTAGGGGTACTTGCATGGTGGGATTAATGCTCGATTTTTTTGGGAGTGGGGGGGTGGGGTTGTTTGGGTTTTTTTTCTGGGCATAATGGTTCAAAGCAAATGAAGATGACCTTGTCCCGGAAAATGACTTGTTTTCGACATGTGGTTAAAGATGGAAGCATGCTTTACCCAAAGCACGCAATGACATATAATACAAAACCTATGTAGACGTTCCCACCCTCTAACCAGAAGATTGTTCTGGAGTTGGCCTCCATGCCGGGACTCTTGGGCAGCCGGGACTTTCTGGGCAGCCGGGGACTCTATGGGCAGCCGGGACTCTCTGGGCAGCCGGAGACTCTTGTGGGCAGGCCCGGACGGAGATTTCCATGTTTGTTTTTGAATATGAATTGTTTCGCTCACAGTAAAATGCGTTCTGTGGAAAGCGAGGTTTCATCAAACCCACGGTCCGGCACAACAACTGTTTCCGGCGTATACACACACCATTTGGCTTATCTCATTTTTTCTTTTCGTCCATGGTGCAAAGGAAACAAGATTTGAATCACCCCAATAGAAGTATGTTCTCGTATAAAGCATGGGATTTCTGCATAGTGGTGGACACCACAACCTCCAACTATCGGACATATACCAAAAAATGTTCTGTAGGCTCAGCAGGGAGACAATGCTGAATCGTTACCTATAGATATTCAGGGGTACGTCAATGGAAATGTTCGTTGTGGGATTCTGAATCATTTAGTGGTTGGGTTTACAACTACCTAGAGCCACTTAATAAAGAATAATTCCAGGAATCTGCATGTTATACATACAGTAGTTACCTTGGTACAACTTGGACCCATGTACCTCTGTATATGTCATATCTGGCCAATGCCGCTGGAAAACCTAGAAGAAACTGGCTTGTCCAATTTTTATGAGGAATAAATATTTTTGTGGACTCTCAACTTTTCCTCTTCTTAAATCCACTTGGATTTCACCTGAGTGCCTCAACATACTAAGACTTTGTAGACAATTGTGCTCTCAGTTTCTCAGTTTGGTGAAGACCTTTTCTTGTTCCAGTATGACTGCCCGTGAACAAAACCAGCTCCATAAAAGACATAGTCTGTCCAGTTTTGGTGTGGGGAACTCAAGTGTCCTGCACAGATCCCTGACTTCAACTTTGGGCCAGACTCCCGCTGTCCCAGTCTCAGGGGATTCCAGAACTTAGCTGCAAGGGAAGTCTCCATTGGTCTCCATCACCAGGTACATGATACCTGCACAGATCCCTGACTTCAACCCTACTAAACACTTTTGGAATGAATTGGAATGCAAGTTGTGAGCCAGGTCTTCTCACCTAACATCTTACCTAAGGGGTACCGTGGTAATGCTACATCATACAAAGATACTGTAGACAGTTGCGTTCTTCCAGCCTTGTGGTAACAGTTTGGTGAAGACCCTTTTATTAAGGTTCCACAATGACTGTGCCCCACTGTGTACGAAGTCAGCTCCATAAAGACATGGTCTGTCCAGTTTGGTGTGGAGGAACTTAAGTGTCCTGTACAGATCCCTGACTTCAACTTTGGGCCAGACTCCTGCTGTCCTACTCTCAGGGGAGTCCGGAAACTTAGCCGCAAGGGAAGCCCTCTCTCCATTGGCCTCCATCACCAGGTACGTGATACCTGCACAGATCCCTGACTTCAAACCCTACTAAACACTTTTGGAATGCCAATTGTGAGCCAGGTCTTCTCACCTAACATCAGTACCTAAGGGGTACTGATAATGCTACATCATACAATGATACTGTAGGACAGCTGCGTTCTTCCAACCTTGTGGTAACAGTTTGGTGAAGACCCTTTTATGTTCCACAATGACTCTGCCCTGTGTACGAAGTCAGCTCCATAAAGACATGGTCTGTCCAGTTTGGTGTGGAGGAACTTGAGTGTTCTGCTCAAAGCTCCTGACTTCAACCCTACTGAACACCTTTAGAATGAATTGGAATGCCAATTGTGAGCCAGGTCTTCTCATATAAGATCTGTACCTAAGGGGTACTGTTTAATGCTACATCATACAAAGACACTGTAGACAGTTGCGTTCTTCCAACCTTGGGGTAAACAGTTTGGTGAAGACCCTTTTCTGTTCCACAATGACTGTGACCCATGAACAAAACCAGCTCCATAAAGACATGGTTTGTGACCAGTTTGGTGTGAAGGAACTTGAGTGTTCTGCTCAGAGCCCTGACCTCAACCTACTGAACAGCTTTGGGATGAGTTAGAACCACCGATGGTGAGCCAGGTCTTCTCATCCCAAAATCAGTACCTGAGGGGCATTACTAATGTTGGATTAGACTGTGGACATAGCCAGGTCCATAAAGACATGGTTTTGATCAGTTGATGTGGGGGAAACTCACCAGTGTCCTGCACAGATCCTGACTTTAACCCTACTGAACACTTTTGGAATGAATTGGAATGCCAGTTGTGAGCCAGGTCTTCTCATCTAACATCTGTACCTAAGGGGTACTGGTAATGCTACATCATACAAAGATACTGTAGACAGTTGCGTTCATCCAACCTTTGTGGCAACAGTTTGATGAAGACTCTTTTCTGTTCCACGATGACTGTGCTCCCGTGAACAAAATCAGCTCCATAAAGACATGGTTTGACAGTTTTGGTGTGGGGGAACTTGAGTGTTCTGCTCAGAGCCCTGATCTCAACCCTACTGAACAGCTTTGAGATTAATTAGAACCCGATGGTGAGCCAGGTCTTCTCATCCAAAATCAGGACCTGACCTCACAAAAATGGGCACAAATTCCTAAAGACAAATAAATCATGTGGAAAGACTTCTCAGAAGAGTGGAGGATGTTATAGCCAGAAAAAGGGACAAACTCCATATAGGTATGATGGGTGCAATCCTTCACAGAGCCTTGACTTTTAGCCCCACTGAACACCTTTGGTATAAATTGGGATGCCGATTGTGAGCCAGGTCTTCTCATTCATATCAGTACCCAAGGGGCAATACTGATGTTGGATGAGACTGTGGACATAGCCAGGTCCATAAAGACATGGTTTGATCAGTTTGATGTGGGGGAACTCGAGTGTCCTGCTGTCAGGGTCCTGTCCACGGCAGAAGTTCTGGAAGATCTGGCATTTTTGCCAGTACTCTGCATGGCCGCAGAAGTACACATCAGCCTCAGTTTGGTGCCAGACGGCCTTTATAAGGAGGCTCATCACTTCCTCAAGTTGCTGGATGATCTCTAGCTCACTATGCCCTGTTCTTGTTTCCTGTTTCCTGTGATTCTGACCTGTGATTTCCTGTTACCGACTTGGCTTGCTTCTGGACCGTCTACTCTGCTTTACCCATGATCTCCTGATGACCTCGACTTGGCTTACAGATACTCTCTCTCTCGCTCCTCTGTGTATGACCTCGGCTATCCCATCTGACTACGTCTGCTCTGATTCCCACCTGGTACCTGACTTTGGCTTGAACCGACTACCCAGTAAACATCTAAATCCCGGAAGGGCTTACATACCACGCACAGGCGCCTCCTGTCTGCAGACCACCAACCAGCACTCCAACAGGTGACCTGTGCAACTTTGGGCCAGACTCCCACTGTCATACTCTCATTGGAGTCTGGAACTTAGCCGCAAGGGAAGCCATCTCTCCATTGGTCTTCATCACCATGTACGTGATATCTGCACAGATCCCTGACTTCAACCCTACTAAACACTTTTGGAATGAATTGGAATGCCAGTTGTGAGCCAGGTCTTCTCACCTAACATCATTACCTAAGGGGTACTGATAATGCTACATCATACAAAGTTACTGTAGACAGTTGCGTTCTTCCAGCCTTGTGGTAACAGTTTGGTGAAGACCCTTTCTGTTCCACAATGTCTGTGCCCTGTGTACAAAGTCAGCTCCATAAAAACATGGTTTGACCAGTTTGGTGTGGAGGAACTTGAGTGTCCTGCACAGATGCCTGACTTCAACCCTACTGAATACCTTTGGGATTAATTAGAACCCCGATGGTGAGCCAGGTCTTCTCATCCAACATCAGGACCTAACCTCACAAATGGGCAGAAATGGGTAAAGACCCTTTTCTGTTCCACAATGACTGTGCCCCTGTGTACAAAGTAAGCTCCATAAAGACATGGTTTGACCAGTTTGGTGTGGAGGAACTCAAGAGTGTTCTACACGGTCCAGGTGTGGAGGAACTCAAGTGTTCTACACGGTCCTTTTGATCTCTCAAACCTACATTTGGAAGACCTTTGGGATATTTGAAGGTTGTGAGCCAGGTTCTCATCCAACATCAGTACCTGCCCCTAACCCTACGGAATACTTTTGGGATGATGTTTTTCTCATCCCAAAGATGTTCAGTAGGCTTGAGGTCATGGAGGAACTCGAGTGTCCTACACAGAGCCCTGACCTCAACCCTACTGACCCCCTTTGGGATGAATTTGAGCACTAGTTGTGAGCCAGGTCTCCTCAGCCAACATCAGTACCTGACCTCTCAAATGGGCACAAAGTCCCACATACATCTCCAAAATCTAATGAAAGGTCTTCCTAGAGTGGAGGATGTGATTGCTGCCAAGGAGGCAACTCCATATTGATGGCCATGGTTTTGGAATGGGATATCCAACAAGCTCATGTAGGTGTGATGGTCTGGTGTCCATGTCAACTGGCCATATTGTGGATGACACACGTACCTGACACTCACCTGCTCTTCCTCTATAAACTAACCATCCATACTGGGAAACCTCTTTATCTTAATGGACGTCATGATCACTCCGGCTGCTCCTCTTTCGGGCTAATTAAGCAGCACACAGGAGAAAGGTCACGTAGAATGCTGCATCATTAGGATTGCGGTTTAGCTTCCCTTTGTGTCTCATATCCTTTGGGGTTTTTTTTTTATGTAGCAGATGTTTATTTGTAGAAAATTAGGTGAAGATGTCTCTTACTTTGCATATTTGTTGCATCTTTACGGCGTTAATGGTGTGGTTATTATCATCTGGACCCGCTTTGAGCAGAAAGAACAATGCTTATGGTCTTAATAGAATTGAGGACAGTACATCCTTCAAAGAGCACACAACTCTTCAAATAATCTGCTGCTTGTCCTAAGAAAGGTCAGTAGAAATGGAAACAGCTATTTTCAAGTTGTTTTTTTTTTTCTTCTTCTAGGAATTATTGGGCTTTTTTCTTTTTAACTAACAAATATCCATCTTTTTAAGGTGGACTTGGCAGTAGATATCATTTTTTTTCATGTTACGGAGATTCCAAGTAAGCAACAGAAGGTGTTCAAGGTCACAAGGCACCAGGGGCGGACTGACCATTTGGAGACTCAGGCACTGCCCGAGGGCCCAGGGGTCAGTAGGGGGCCCCATGAGATGCCCCCCGGTACCTTTTTCATAGGCTTTTTTGAGTTTGGGCAAGGACACAGGGGCCCCATGATCCCCTATTGCCCGGGGCCCCATGAGTTGTCAGTCCGCCCCTGCAAGGCACTTCTGTACTCTAGCTAGCGGCCAGGTGAAGATGACAAACTGGGCCCCCCCTCCCCCTGATGTGTGAGCAAAAACTCCCATTCCCTCAAAAAAAAAAAAAAAAAAAAAAAATTAAATCCAGCGCCATTCTGCACACTCTCCATCCACCAGTGGTGTCTTTAGGTCAGGGGTGTCCAAACTATGGCCCTCCAGATGTTGAGGAACTGCAAGTCCCATGAGGCCTTGGAAGACTCTGGCATCCACAGGGAAGACACCCAGAGGCAGAGGCATGATGGGACTTGTAATACTTCAACAGCTGGAGGGTCATAGTTTGGATACGCCTGATTTAGGTTTTGTGCTGCCCTAGGCAACACAAACTTTGACCCCCGGGAAAGAGCCTGATATTGGCCAACAACACCCCTTCCACCCAAGAGAGCCTTCCACTACCATCGCCCCCCATATACCGGCTACTCCCCTCCCAGAAAGAGAAAGAAAGAGACTTACCTTCACAACTCTGGACATCCCCGGGAATGAGAGTCAAGCAGCCCAAAGCCTAGGAGGGGAGATTTGTGTTATTCCGCCCCAACACAATACCCCCCCCCCACCCCCCCAGAGAGAGCCTGACATTGGCCAACAACACCCATGCCCCCTTCCACTACCATCACCCCATATACTGGTCACTCCTCTCCCAGAAAGAGAGAGAAAGAAACTTACCTTCACAACTCTGGACATCCCCGGGAATGAATGAGAGTCAAGCAGCCCACAGCCTAGGAAGGGAGATTTGTGTTATTCTGCCCCCACACAGTACCCCCCCACCTGACATTAGCCAACAACACCCCTGCCCCCTTCCACCCAAGAGAGCCTTCCATTACCATCGCCCCCATACAATGGCCACTCCCCTCCCAGCAAGAGAGAAAAGGACACTCACCTTCATATCTCTGGACATCCCCGGGAACGAGAGTCAAGCAGCCCACAGCCTAGGAGGAGGGATTTGTGTTATTCCTCCCTCACACAATACCCTTCAAACTCCCCCCCCCTTTCCAGAGAGAGTCTGACATTGGCCAACATCACCCTTGCTCCCCTCAACCTGAAAGAGCCTTCCACTACCATCGCCACCATACAGCGTCCACTCCCCTCCCAGCAAGAGAGAGAAAGGCGCTCACCTTCACAACTCTGGACATCCCCAGGAAGAGAGTCAAGCAGCCCACAGCCTAGGAGGGGGGATTTGTGTTATTATTCTCTCCCCACACAATACCCTTCAATACCCTCCCTCCCCCACTCAATATACCCCCCCCCCCCCCAGAGAGAGCCTGACATTGGCCAACAACACTCCTGCCCCCTTCCACCCAAGAGAGCCTTCCACTACAAATTCCCCATACACCGACCACTCCCCTCCCAGCGAGAGAGAGAAAGACACTCACCTTCACAACTCTGGACATCCCCAGGAACGAGAGTCAAGCAGCCCACAGCCTAGGAGGGGGGATTTGTGTTATTCCTCCCCCACACATTACCCTCCAATACCCTCCCTCCCCACACAATACCCCCTCTCGGAGACAGCCTAACATTGGCCAACAACACCCCTGCCCCCTTGCACCCGAGAGAACCTTCCACTACAATTTCTCCATACACCGACCACTCCCCTCCCAGCGCGACAGAGAAAGACACTCACCTTCACAGCTCTAGACTTTCTCAGGAACGAGAGTCAAGCAGCCTACAGCCCAGGAGGGGGGATTTGTGTTATTCCTCTCCCACACAATACCCCCCTCGGAGAGAGCCTAACATTGGCCAACAACACCCCTGCCCCCGTGCACCCGAGAGAACCTTCCACTACAATTTCCCCATACACCGACCACTCCCCTCCCAGCGCGACAGAGAAAGACACTCACCTTCACAGCTCTGGACTTTCCCGGGAACGAGAGTCAAGCAGCTCACAGCCTCTCACAGATCCCACCTGGTCTCCAAGCCACATGTGTCCCCTCTTCCGCTGCTGCAGAACTTCAGAAATCACATTGATTAACCAGGGTCTCTGGCCAAAAGATGGTACGTTCCAGCAGTCTTCAAGGAAATCCATGCATTCTTGCATTGTCACCTATAACAGGTTACAAGTGGGTGGTGAGGGTTGTTATGGAGGTGGGGGTTGTGGTGAAGGCTGGGAAGGGACTCCATCCTTAGGTGTCGCCAAGAGATGTAACCTCGTATCACCCATTAGACCCAAGAATGGGGTGACCAAGAGGAAAAGAGCTCAGAGGTAACTCTACCCTAACAATCCAACCAGGAAGGTTGACTCTGGGGAACCAAAGGCAATCAGAATGGAAGACATTAATGAAAAACCACCAGGCAAGAAATCAAGAGAGCTTGAGGAACACACGCTGAGAGAACCATCAGAGGACCAGAAAGATCAAACACAAAGTGAGTGCAGCTAATCTGGAGAGAGCTCAGAGGTGACTCTGCCCTAGAGGTTCAACCAAGACAGAAGACAGAATATAGGTAAACTTTGGGAAACCAATGGCAATCAGGAGGGAGGACATTGATGGAGACTCACCGCGGAAGAGACCAAGAGAGCTTGAGGAACACAGGCTGAGAGAACCATCAGAGATCCAGAAAGATCAAACACAAAGTGAGTGCAGCTAATCTGGAGAGAGCTCAGAGGTTACTCTGCCCTAGAGGTTCAACCAAGACAGAAGACAGAGTATAGGTAAACCTTGGGAAACCAATGGCAATCAGGAGGGAGGACATTGATGGAGACTCACCAGGGAAGACACCCCAAAGAGCTTGAGGAACACACACTGAGAGAACCATCAGAGGGCCAGAACGATCAAACACAAAGTGAGTGCAGCTAATCTGGACAGAGCTCAGGAGTGACTCTGCCCTAGAGGTTCAACCAAGACAGAAGACAGAATATAGGTAAACCTTGGGAAACCAATGGCAATCAGGAGGGAGGACATTGATGGAGACTCACCGGGGAAGAGTCCAAGAGAGCTTGAGGCACGCACAGACTGCGGGAACCATCAGAGGGCCGGAAAGAGGAGACACAAAGTGAAAGCTGTCAATCAGGGGATGCTAATGGGGACCCACTGGGTGAGAAACCAAGAAAACTTGAGGCCCACAAGACTGTGGGAACCATCAGAGGGCTGGTGAGAGGAAAAATAAAGTGAGAACAGCCAATCAAGAGGGAGCAGGTAAGTGCTGCACTGCCATTTTTACCCCCTTCTTCATCAT